GTTTGATACGCCGCCCCCATTTTTTGTTGCGATTCTTTCCAATGATTTAATGAATTAAGTACCCTTTACCAAAAAAAAAAAAAAATCGGCAAATTATGTTGTGCAACCGTGTCCACCTTGCAAGGTGGACACGGTTCCAAAATTGTTCATAATTATGAATATATAGTTCAAAAATATGAACATATAGTTCTATAATTATGAACATAGAGTTGTGAACATAATTATAAACATATAGTTATGTAATTATGAATATAGAGATTCAATAATTGTGAATATAAAATTCAAAAATTATGAATATATAACTCTATAATTATAAATATATGATTCAGTAATTATAAATATAAAATTCTGTAATTGTAAATATATAGTTCAATAATTATGAATATGAAATTTAAATATTATGAATATATAACTTTATAATTATGAATATATAGTTTAATAATTATGAACCTACTATCCTCAAAATGAATACGAAATAACAATGTCTTGTCAACTGTGCAAGACATGTCATGTGATGATTGATATTATTCCAAGCTTGCTATTCTCAGACACGTGAGTGTCGATGGGGGTATTATATATACTACACATATTTAATTTATTTTTCAATATCTACTACTTCGTACTATGATGACTTTGATTCATCTAAAAGAATAAAATTTTATTTAATATTTTTTTTCTAATAAAATCTAAGGCATACAAAAATTTTACCCTCGAAAGTCCTGTATGTTATCATTTTCGTATACTATAATTGATTTAGATTTCAAATTTGTGCATGTGAGATCCTCTCATCGATAAGGATCATTGAAACATGTCGAGTCGTGTCGATATTAAAATGTAATATATATATTGAAAAATATAATACTAGCAAGGAATAAAGAGTTTGTTAATTAATTATTTATAAAGAAAGTGTAATAGTTGTGAGGAAATATATAATACTTTTATATTTTGATGTAAAAGTGTACCATTTTTCATAAAAAATGTTACACTTTTTCTTCTAAGTAATGTTAGTAAGTGTTTGTTACTTATAAAAGAAAATGTAAAAGTATGTATTACATTTTTTTCTTCAAAAGTATTATACTATTCTCATATAAGTAATACTCTCTCCATCGCATTTTATGTGTCTAATTCGGTTAACGAGGCTTGACTAAAGTTATTTTTAATTTCATTTTTTAAAATATTAAATTTAGTGTTAGTATACAAAATTTATATATTTAGAAACTACACTAAAAGTACTATTAAGCACAAAAAATCAAATTAAAAAATAAGTAAAAAATACTAAAGAAAATAAACAAAGAAGAAAGAGTTAGTTTGACAAATAAATGAGTTAATATCCAAAATCGTCCTCGACTATAGTGGTTTTTCTCAATTTCATCCTAAATGACTTTGGTGACCTAATATCGTCCCAGACTTTTGTGTTTCGCTCAATTTAGTCCTCCATTTGTTATTCCGTCAAATTGGTGTTAAATAAAGTGACAATTCAGTAATGTCAATATTGATCTCTCTTTACTTTCAAGTTGTGAAGTGCGAAATTCCTCTTTCTTGTACGAATTACACCCAGAATTACTCCCGGATCTGCAAATCAAATTTTATATTCGCAGTTTTAGGAGTAATTCTGGGAGTAATTCGTAAAAAAAAAGGATTTCGCAGTTCACATGTCTATGAGTAAAGAGATGCCAATATTAAAATTACTGAATTGTCTATTTATTTAACACCAAATGGACAGAATAACAAATGAGGGACTAAATTGAGCAAAAACACAAAAGTCTGGGACTAAATTGAGCGAAACACAAAAGTCTGGGACGATATTAGGTCACCAAAGTCGTTTAGGACGAAATTGAGAAAAACCACTATAGTCGAGGACGATTTTGGCTATTAACTCACAAATAAATAGTAAGTAGGATAGATAAAATGAGGCAGATGAAGTAAACACTCCATTCCTTATTAGTAGTGCGTTTTTCAATATAGGTGGTTATACTTTCCCTTATAAGTAATTTTATTGGAAAGTGTTTGTTATTTATAAAGAAAAATGTAAAAGTATTACATTTTTCATCAAAAGTATTATACTTTCTCATATAAATAATAAACACTTTATTCATTATTAGTATTATATTTTTCAATATAAGATTAAATTTCAACATCGACCGACCGACCGACCCACCATACAGACAAGTTTTTACCTTGGTCCAAACTAATAACCTAAATGAGCTACTGTATGAGAGTCACGCGTGCTCCATTGTGGGCTCTTTGGGGGCATATGATTTTTCTATCAAATGAGCTTATGAATCATCATTGCCATAATCTATCAATCGTTATGCTATGGACCAGTGTCCAGCATGCATGTTGGACACAGGAACGGTGTCGTTAGTGGTACCGTTCTCTTCTATTCTATTTTTTTTTTTTTTAAAATTTCAGATCATTTTATTATAGGAGTATATGTTCATAATTTTATCACTATCTGTTCATAATTGTAAGTTCATAATGTCAGAGCTCTGTGTTCATAATTGCATAACTGTACATTCATAATTGCATAACTGTACATGCATAATTCCGTAACTGTACATTCATAATTCAATAACTGTAAATTCATAATTTTCGAAACTCTATGTTCACAATTTTAGAGCTCTATGTTCATAATTTTATCACTATATGTTCATATTGTAAGTTCATAATGTCAGAGCTCTGTGTTCATAATTCCATAACTGTACATTCATAATTCCATAACTGTACATTCATAATTGCATAACTGTACATTCATAATTCAATAACTGCAAATTCATAATTTTCGAAGCTCCATATTAACAATTTTAGAGTTCTATGTTCATAATTTTATCACTATATGTTCATAATTGTAAGTTCATAATGTCAGAGCTTTGTGTTCATAATTTTATAACTTACATTCATAATTCCATAACTGTATATTCGTAATTTCATAACTGTACATTCATAATCCCATAACTGTACATTCATAATCACTGCTGAAATTCTCGCTATTTCCGACCAACATTTCGTCCAATCATAATTTGGTCGGTAATTTATTAAAAATTCCTACTTTCCATAGCTAAAGATGGTTGGACGGAAAGTTGATCGAAATTTCTGTCCAACACATTGAATGTTGGACAGAAATTTCGTCCAACATCCCGTATTAGAAGGAAATTCTGTCCAACCTATAATATTGGTCGGTAAATCTGAATGACTAATAGGTAAGTCTTACAAAATGTTGGACTGAAAATTAAAATATTTCAACAGTAATGAACAATCTAAGGAGCGGGAAATACATAAATTTTTGGAGATATCTCCTCCACTAGTCCAAAGCTTGTTCTCACTTTCAAGACAACACTTCTTACTCTTCTTTTTCTCTTCCAGGGCGACGGAGGGTGATGACCGACATGAGACCACAGATCTACGAGAGCCATCTAGCGGCATGAGACCATGGATCTAGAAGAACCGTCAGTGGCAAAGCGAGAACAAGTGCGAAGAAGGCATTTCTGCTATACTCAACAAATTTCAGCTCCATAGATCTACGAGAATCACCATCTGCGACGATCTACCAGCGATGACCTGCGTGAGACCATAGATCTACAAGAATCGTCAGCGACAAGGGCGATGACATAAATGAGCTTTTTTTCTCGCTGGATTTCTGCTCCGCGGCTGCGGAATGCCCCAATACGAGGGTCCTCCGTCGTCCAAGTCTTGATTTTTCGGTCATTCCAGTCGTTTTTAATTTGAATATATTTTCAATTTTCAATTTGAAATTTAGTGTGTCTATTAATTTGTTGATGACATATAATTTATTAACAATGGGTATAAATAAAATTTTGACAATATAAAAATTATAAAAATATTCCATATGATATAGAGTTTCCCTACCAACAGTTGGAAGGAAAATAACAAAATATAATATGTGAGTTTTCCATCCAACGCTCGGTCGGAAGGAATTTTCGACCAACGCACGTAGTTGGACAGAAATTCTCACATTTTAAGAATGGTGGGTTACTCACCGGAAATTCTGTCCAATTTTTGTTCGTTGGACACTATTTCCGACCAAAAATCATAGTTGGACGGAATTTCCGACAAGGGTTTTTCCGAACATTCCTTTTGGTCGGTATGTTGGACGGAAACCTCGTTTTCGACCAATATATCGCGTTTTCCGTCCAACATTCGTTGGACGGAAAACGCGAGATTTCCAGCAGTGTAATGGCACAAACGAATAACGCCATTAACGACGAGACAAATTCATTTTTTTTAATAATGGAATGACGCATTTTCCCTAAAAACGACGTCGTTTTGGACTCGTGTCCACAATGCATTGTGGACACGGGTCCAGGGCATAATTTGCGATAATCTATGCACTACTTTCACAAATTTTGTCGGGCCAAAATGTGTGTCAATCATTATTGTGTGGAGCATGGTCCATTCATACAAGTTATGTGGATCATATTTTGTATGTTATAAAATAATATATATTTAGTACAAAAATAATATACTTTTAATATATTAATAATGTATATTGTATTCAGGAAAAGTACATTATTTTGTATAATGTACATTCAATACACAAATAATGTACATTTAGTATATTAAAAATGTACTTTTATTTGCCTATGTGAGAATTTTTTTTTTTTTTTTTGAATGCTACTGATTCTATTACAATGTAGTATCTGTTCATATACTTTACTTTCTCAACCTGCTATTGAAACATAAAGAGCCAATAACACCTCCACCGAGACTCAAACTCACAATCTTCCAATTAGAAGTCCAACCCGGATATCATTAGACCACATAGTCCTGGTCCAATGTGAGGATTTAAGAGTTAGGAACTTCACTTTTTTGTGAGTAAGAAAAAGAAAAGAAAAAAGAGAAAACCACTTGAAATTTTTAATTAATAATAATCATAAATATAGAGACAGTGGCAAAACTTTGTGTATGAATTATTGGGAGAAGATAGACATGAAAGGATGGTGCCAAATGGGCTGGAAGAGTCTATTTAAAACCTTCACAAGCATTGAGAATTTATCATAAGGAATCATATTTACAGGCAAGCATGGCTTCTCTACCATTTCTCTTATTCACCATCTTTCTCTCCCTTGTTGCTTCTAATGCTCTTTCTCCATCATCCGTTGCTTCTCAACAATCCAAATTTTGGTCCCAAAATGTAGACAACAACATGCCTCAATCTATTCGCTCTAAATTATCCCCTCTCTCCGAGCTCGAAACAAAAGCCTTCACTCCATTAGTATCCAAACAATACTTCACATCCAATCCCAAATTCTGCACAAGTGCTAATTTGGTTTGTGCATCTGCCGTAAAGCCAATTCCTTGCGTTTTCTATCACGAAGTGCATTTCACTGATAAGGTTACTGTCCCTATTGAAGAAGCCGACCCTTGGTATTCTGCACAAGTGCTAATTTGGTTTGTGCATCTGCCGTAAAGCCAATTCCTTGCGTTTTCTATCACGAAGTGCATTTCACTGATAAGGTTACTGTCCCTATTGAAGAAGCCGACCCTTGGTCTTTCTTTAGGCTCTCAATCCTCAAAAACGGCAACAAAGTAACTCTCCCTGAACTCGATAGCAAATTCCCTAACCGTGCCTTTCTTCCTTCTCAAATAGCAACAAGTTTTCGACTTAGAGAGAGTGAGTTGCAAAGGATATTTCCCATTGCCCTTTCCATTCCTTCCACCAAGGCCTCTGTGGACATGAGCCTTCACCATTGTGATGCTCCCACAGTGAAGGGAGAGAGGCGTAGCTGTCTAAAGACCCTAGAGGACATGATTGAGTTCTCAAGGGATAGTTTAGGCCGCAAACATCTGGTGGCTTTGGCATCAGACAATACAAAAGTCCTGGGGAATCAAGTGGTCATGGTTAAGAATGTTATTAAACCTTACAAGACCGAAAAGATTGTTGCCTGCCATGAATTGTTCTTTCCCTTTGCCACCTATTATTGCCATATGTTACCGTTAACAGAAGTCTATGGTGTAGATGTGATTAATAAGAGAGGTGCAATCAATAAGCTCTTTGCAATTTGTCATACGGATACTTCGTCATGGACACCAAATCATGTCGCCTTCAAACTACTCAAGACATCTCCCGGGAAAGGAGAGGTGTGCCATTGGATAGGCGAAATGGACCTTCTTTGGGTGGGTTATGACTAGATGCACAAAAGCAAAAAAGGAAAAAAAAAAATGAAGTTAAATAAGATCCCATGAAATAAATTTAGTGTTTGATTAAGAATTTCTCCCTTCGTGAAGTATTTGTAATATAAGTGGTGTGCTTGTAGTTTATCAAATGCTTTAGCGTACCAAACCATGTAAACATGGATATGTATTGCACTTAATTTATATTTTGTTTACAGTTTTTAATCGAATGTGATTAAATAGAATGCAATTTTTTTTTTAATCATTTACGTACTCTAAAACTTTTATGACATGTTTGGTTCATGGAATAGGTTATGAATAGAATAACATTCCTTCATAAACCTATTCCATTGTTTGTTTTGGCCATTTTTATGTTTTGAAAAAAATTTCTTAATTTAAAAAAAATACACAAATAAATTTTCCAAAACAGAATTAGTAATATATATATATATATATATATATATATATATATATATATATATATATATATATTTTCAAAGTTTTATTTACAAATACATACTTATACTTTTCATATGTATACATTTTTCACACACTTTAATTTGTATTCTATATCCTGTTTTCCAACTTTCCATTTTCATACTTACGTACCTAAATCTATCATTAAGCTTTGTATTGGAGTTTCGATATCAAATGACTAGAAATCATATTTAATGACCAAGGACATTGTGGTCTAATAGTATCAAATTAAATTTTTAGATGATAAATTGTGGATTCGAGTCTCAGTAAATGTAATTAAATGTATATTGCTAGCGTGAGAGCACGTTGTAGAGTCAGGGGTTAGTAACATTATTATTTCTAGTCTGTTTTCCCTCAACATCCCTCTTGATTCACTAACGTCGATATTCTTTATAGAATTATTATGTTCAATTAGAACCTTTCTTACATAAATTAGAGTATTGCTAGACGTGTATATATATATATATATATATATATATATATATATAATCATTAATCATTATATGATGTCATCATTTTAGTAGATCTATTTTAATATTATATTTTTTTATTACGTAGATTTTTTACTTAACTCATAATAAATTTATCAATTCATATTAGAGCATGTAGTAGAAGGGAATAATGAGAAATAGTCAAAGATTTTTTTGTCTTTGATCATCTAGGTGGTTACAACTGCTTTTACCGCCTTTTCTTTGTATATATAAGCTCTTCATGTATTCGGCTAACAAACTCAATCAAACCGTTGTCAACCCTTTCTCATCTCAATGTCTCTCTGCGTTTTCTGATCATCTCCTTGGCTGATCTCCATCATGGTATCAGAGCTAGGGAGGAGATCCTATGCCGGAGCAGTTACCGGCGTCGGAGAAACCAGTCAGCCACCGCAACCACGGATGAGTCAACCACCGATCAATGCTCCACCAATCATAGCTCCTCAACGAAATTAGACTGAAGATGTCGAGAATCCTCTGTACCTCAACTCCAATGAGAATCCGAACACCATCCTTGTCAGTCCTCCCCTCAGCGGCAATTCGAACTACGCTTCATGGAGCATCTCAATGCAAGTCGCATTGGAGGTGAAAAACAAATGGTTCCTGATCGACGGAAGCGTGCCAGCGCCGAACAGAACTCAGAACAACTATCAAGCGTAGAGAAGGTGTAATTTGATGGTGAAATCCTGGATACTCAAAACTGTGCATCCATCCATCGCACAAAGCGTGATGTACATGGAAGCTGCGAAAGATGTTTGGAATGATTTCAGAAAGCGATTCTCTCAGCGAGATCCGCATCGTATATCAACATTGCAGAATGAGATCTACAACTTGAAGCAGGGAAGTCTCTCGGTGAATGAATACTATACCAAATGCAGAACGTTTTGGGAAGAGATGAATGAGCTGCGTCCCCTTCCGATCTGCAAATGCAATCCCCGATGCTCCTGTGATCTAGTCGATCTTGTCAGAAAAGATCGCGAAATAGATGAGATCATCCGATTCCTGCAAGGCTTAGGTGATGACTATAATCCACTTAAATCTAATATTCTTGTGCTTGATCCTTTGCCAGAGATGTACAAGGTATTCGTCATGGCAGAGAAGTTTGAGAGACAATTGAACATCACTAGCTCGAACCTGCAGTTCAGCCTTGCCAATGCCGTTCACAATGAGTCAAACTCCAATGAAGAAAACAATGTAGCAGCAGTGAATTACTATAACGGAAAGAGGAACGTGAACTCAGGCAATGGAAATCGAAATGCTAAATGCACCTATTGTGGAATGATTGGTCACACCATGGAGAAGTGCTATAAGAAGCACGGCTATCCACCGGGGTGGATTCCGGGGTTCAAATCCAAGGGGAAACAGCCGGTAATGGCAGCCTCTGCTAGCTTGGACAATGCTACCACTTCTGAACAGCTTCAGAAACTTATATCCCTTCTACAAACTCAAGTTGATCAACACCAAGCCCCTACTACTGCTGCTGCTGTCGCTCTTATTCCCAACTTCACAGAACCTGGAGTTCAAGCAGAAGGCAAGTTCAACTTCACTTCTCATATAAACTCTCGTAATCTTTGTGCTTCCACTTGGATTTTGGACTCGGGAGCAACTGATCATATAGTGTGCTCTCGAGAATTCTTTAACAATTGTTGTGTAGTTAAGGGAGCTACTGTGAACCTGCCTAATGGAGAGAGAGCTGTTGTTCAACATAAAGGAGATATCAAGTTGGCAGAAGACCTTTGGCTAAAGAATGTGTTACATATTCCAGACTTTAGATTCAACATTGTCTCAGTTAGTAGATTGCTACAAGACTCATCTCACATTTTGATGTTTAACTGTGGCCAGTGCCTCCTCCAGAAAGCTGGGATGACCAGTGGTTTTGCTAGGGAAGAAGACGGATTGTACCTGCTGTGTCAACCGCCGAAGATCAGTTCCTATAGCAATTCTGTGATGAAAGTTGATAGTGCCGACCTTTGGCACAAACGTTTGGGACATTTTCCCGTTAATAAGATCCATCTTATAAAGAATGTTTCAGTTTCTTATCCTAAGCAATTGCCTTGTAATGTCTGTCATTATGCTAAACAGAAACGAGCCATTTTTCCTTTAAGCAGCACCATGCCGAATAAATGTTTTGATCTAATCTATGTTGACATTTGGGGTCCCTTCATGGTTGAATCTTTAGGGGGAGAGAGATATTTTCTAACTATTGTTGACGATTTCTCTAGATACACTTGGGTTCACCTCATGAAGAACAAATCCGAGACAAGGGCTATGATCAAAACCTTCCATAAACAAGTTCAAACTCAACATGGAGCAGTCATCAAAACTTTAAGAAGTGACAATGGAAGGGAATTCAACATGAATGATTTCCGTTAGGAATAAAATGTAATAGTTTTGATGAGCCAAATTTGTATTTCTAGAACCCCCTATTTTATTTTGAGTCTAGTTGTCTATTAGCCTAAGTCCCAAGTCAAGCCATAAAGTCTACGAATTCTTAGCAAAATATACTTATCCAGAATGTTACTATTTGAGAATTATTTACCTTGGAAAACACTAAAGGATGAAGCAGTGAAGTGGATAAGGAACAAGGTTGCTAAAGTCAGAGGTCACGGGTTCAAGATTCAATTGCTACATTTTTGAGTAAGAGATAAAGAAGGGGACGACCAAGGGGCTGATAGGGGACGACCAAGAGGCAGATTCAGATTAATTTGTGAATTAATCCAAAATGCTACTAAAGCCATTCTGGGAATAAAGATTAACTCCAGAAATATTAATTAATGAGTTAATATGGTGTAGTGGTACAAGCATAGGAGATATAAGTTATTGGGCTCGTGTTTAAGTCTCATTGGAAGTATATTTTTAAAAGATGACACTTGTTAGGTGCATGCTACAATGTGGACACATGGAAGGCTAAATTGACTACAAGTTTGGAAGCTTGTGGACATGATAAGGAAGATGCACGTGAATTCTTCTACACATCTTCTTTCTCATTTAAATATCTTGCTATGCATCTCAAATCATTTCAGAAGAAGAAATGGACGAAGATATAATTTTTACTCAAGCAAGAATCAGCAGAAAATCTTTTGGAAGATTTCATCATTTTGAATCCGTCAAGATAAGGAAATTATTTTTCGGAGAAGATTCAGCTGATGAGCCAACATATACGACTTTGAAGATTTGTCAGGTGAAGATTTTCAAACTCACTGTAAGAAGCCCATCTCTTGCATTAAATCACCGCAATGCAAGTTGGCAATAATGTGTAGCTGATCAAGATGGACGATCAAGATCAAGTGATGCTACAACGGTAATATAGTTTCTTCAGCTATATATACCAGATGACTTGAAGACATGAAGCAGGGAGGCAACAATACACAAAGAGAAAAAATTCGAAAATATCTAGTCTGAGCTTTCACGAGATATTCTTCAAGTCCTTAGAAGAGAAATTTGTTTTCTCTAAATTTTACCTCTACTGTGTGTAGAAAGAGGGTTGAGTGTAGCTTTGTGCAAGACACTACCGTGTTGAGTGTAGCTTTATGCGAGACACTCGTGGTTGCTGAGTGTAGCTGTGTGCGAGACGCTCGGTGGTGCTAAGTGTAGCTGGGTGCAAGACACTTAGTTGGTGTAGGAGTATAGCTTTGTGAAAGATACTCGGGAGTATAGCTTTGTGCGAGATACTCGGGATTGAGTGTAGCTGTGTGCAAAACACTCGGGAAGTGCCTGTGTGCACTTGATTCACTATTTGTATCTGGGTGAACGAGATAGTGAATTTCCTCCTTGGAGTGAAAGGAGAAGAGTGGACTAGGAGGATTACACCACATCTGAACCACTATAAATTGCCTCTCTCATTTACTTACTGCTTTATTTATTATTGCATGCATACTAACCCATTTACTATTCGTCTTATTCATTTATCTTATTGATTGGGTTATGTGACTTTACAAGTGCATGCAGACAATTCTATTTTGGATTCATTCATTGATTCACACGTGATATCACACACATATTGAGTGAACCATCTCTTTAAATATTTGTTGTCTTGCATGTTGAATATTTGACTGACCCATCTTACATTGTG